ATTTTGCTTTGCTGCCTTTGTGCTTAAGTGCACATTTAAGATACCTACCTAGAGAAGCAATTAAAAATTTACGACATGTGAGACGTATAAAATTCCAGTCGTAATTCTTAACGTTGTACATTAATTTGATATCATTCTTTATGTTTTCAGAGCACAAGTGTTAAGTCAGAAACAACACCTTTTTCCTTTTAATTTTAGCCCATTATGATGACAATAAAAGCTGACTGCATAAAGGTCGTGCTGTCATTTCCGAGTAGCCTTTGTATTCTGGTTCCATTTTCAGCGGATTGCCTTCAAAGTCCTGGATCCGCTAAATTCTCAATTTTCGCATTTTATTTAATTAAAAGTGTGCCTATGTGATTCGAAATGTCTTTTGACTGTTAAGAAGGGTTTTAAGTAGAATTTTAATAACTTTTCTATTGGCACAATAATCAATTCAAGCAACGTAATTTTATGGCACTGTTTTGTATTGTTTAAATTAACTCTTCGGTTTCACATTTCTTTTTTAGAATAATCGATTATTCTAAAAAATTTGATCAAAATGAAGCTTTACTGACGCCCACAAGTCTAAATATACATAAGCTCGAATCTTGAAAAAAATAATGTTGCTTTTCAAGTGAAGCCGGGTGTAAATATATTTATTTATTTTATTTTATTTTTCTAGTAATTTTGTTAAACCGGCTTTCTCAATATGCAACCAATCTAATTATATTATGAAATTATTTATATATATGTACATATCCTTTTGCTAAAACAAAACAAAAAATCAGGTAAAACCGGTGTTGCCCTTTTGGGCTTTTTCTACGAAAATCTTAAGTAGCAGCTATAACTACTACCACTTAGACTTTGTTACTTTTACCATTGCAAGCTCAATAACAATATTGCAATAAATATTAACTAATAAGCCACAATAATATTGACAAAATTTTTAGGTTCTTTCTCGTTAGCTGCTTCCAGTTTTAGAAAGCTTCTTTGCTCATAAAACAGAAACCGCCTCTAATTTGTTTTGTTTTGTCACTTTGTCAGTGCTGTCCGTGAACGCTTTTGAAGATATTTATATTTGTCTTTTTTTTTTATGACAAATCATGAATAAAAGGATAGATTGTATATTGAATATTTACAAATTTCAACCAAAATAGCAAGAAAACGCATTTGAACAATGTTGTCATTGCTATTAGTTATCATTCATTCCAAATTGGTGGTGCTAATGCACTCTCCCAATAATGGAACATGAAATAAAGAAATAAAGCCGAAAAACACTTCCCCAGAGACCATCATCTTTACTGCGGAAGAACTCCAGTCCGCCAACTACAAATCCCAAGAAAGCATAAATTTAGAAATGTTTACCACAGAGCGACCTAGGGAATATTTCCAGAAGCCTGGAAAAGACTACAGCCTATTTAAATCAACAAAGGTAAAGGGAATCCCAATTCATCCCATCAAAATATCGCTGCACGCTGAGCACAGTAGGGAAACTTGAAAATAGGCTACTTGATCTCAGTATAGAAACGGCTATTTACAGAGGTGGTGTGGACTCTCCTTAAGACAGTGAGCTCGGGCCTGGCAGAACAATCAAAAACATCAGCGACAGAAAAAACTGCATACGAACACAAGAAGACGGTCTTGCTGGCAACTATGTATAGGCGCATTCGCAACGCTTGCAATACCGTAAAATGGGAGAAATGATAATCGCACAAAGAAAAGTATACAATTTACATACGAACTCGTGCACATAAAAGTACATTGGACTATTGCTGAGGAGTTTTCTGGAGTAGCGGCAGCTAGTGTAACAAAGCACCGATGATTCCGGCAACTTACAATCAAGTCAGTTGCAGAAACATACTGCCTTCTTGGTCCAGACCTCTGGAATGCCAGTTATGATGGAATACTAAAACCCCAAAATGGCTGACGGTACCCACTTAGCAGGTTACGCAGATGAAATCAGTAAAGAAGGGACAGTAAAGCAGCACACCAGAAGATAAATAAATTATGATAAGCAAAATGCGCGGCTCCACGTACCACGAACCAAACTCACAAGAGATAAAGCCATCTTTCTACTTCTAAGAAAAACAGCATCTTCCTTTAGAATTGAGCACCCATCTTTCTACTTCTAAGAAAAACAGCATCTTCCTTTAGAATTGAGCATTAAAAGCACTTCCGTGACATCAAAGACACTCAGGCATAGTAGCTAATTAAGTACCTGGGGTTTAGACTAAACCCGAGACTAACGAACAAAGCATAAATCCAGGACGCCGCATAAAAAAGGCAGCGTCAGCTTAGAAAAAGAATGTCTCTGATCTACGCAACTGTTAATATTTGCCCATCCGACTTCCAGATGGTTATGTATTTGAAATCATCATACCGCAGAGTCAGAGTATCCCTTGCGTATCGTCTAGTGTCTGCTAAATGTACGAGTACAGTGATAAGATAAACTAAACACTATGAAACTTATTTGAGTTTCAATATTTAAAGCTTTTTTTACTAAAAAAATCAATACATTCATGTACTTTTTATCAGCCTTCTCACACACTTGCATACATTTTAATTAAACTGTCTTACAAAATATTCAATTTAAAACTAAATTCTACTCTCTGACAATTAGCCCCTAAAACCTCCGGCCGAAGCAGAAGATGACGCGGAAGAAGAAGCAGCGTTACCACCAAAACCACCGCCAGCCGACGAGCTGGCACTTGAAGAAGACGAGGAGGAAGCTCCACCGCCACCACCAAATCCGGAACCTCCGAATCCTGGTCTACCAAATTTTGGGCCTCCAAATCCTGGGCCTCCAAATCCGGGTCCACCAAATCCGGGTCCACCAAATCCGGGTCCACCAAATCCTGGGCCTCCAAAGCCGCCACCACCAAATCCAGGACCGAAGCCACCTCCATAGGGAGGACGGCCGTAGCCTCCACCAAAGCCAGGACCGCCGAAACCAGGGCGTCCATAGCCGCCAAACCCGAATTGCGGCATCGCCGAAGCAACTGCAATCAAGAGCGCGACAGCAAATAGAACTTTCATGACGTTAAATTCGCGTTGGATCTATACGGCCGAAAAATAACAATTCAATGGCTTCTTTATGCTACGAACAGCGGCAATGCGTGCGTTAATGTCTTCTCAATTCACACTAATGTCCATACGCAGTTATGCGAAAATTATTTATACTCATGCGAAGTCGCTTGCTGAGGCTTTGTACACCGATCTACAGGTAGTAGACGCCATTCGATCTCACACACACACATATGTATGAACTTGTGTGGACCGAAACACTAACGTCCTGCCTCGCTCTCACGCTCGTAATTTCAATGGCTTAGCAACTACATACATGCATACATAAGTAACTGCGATGGGCAGGAAAATAGTATACTCGGCGGCTGATGATCTTCGAGCCCAGCGAAGCAGCATACGGCTACAAAATTTAAAATGACAAAGCGTAGGAGAAAAAATTGAACAACGAGGCGCACACTGCTGCACTCTTAAGCAAATATCAATCAAAGCCACAACAACAACAACCATGAAGCAAGCGATCGCTAAAAATCGTAGATCGCCGAAGTGGTTTCTAATCTCCGTGATGCTGGTGATTCCCAAAACTACTTAAGTAGTATAGATGTTGAATGAACAAAAAAAAAATAAACGAATGGTTCATTCCACGGTGACGTGTGTGAAATTTCAACTCAACGAGTATTTTTTAATAGGTTTCCGAGGTATACACAATGCCTGGAAAAAATTTCAAAACCAATTTAGTCCAAACGAGTTATATATTATTATAATTTTAGTCACTGAGACGGGTGTGACGAGTACGCAAACCCAATTAGCTACTACTTACTTGTATCAGAGTTTTTCTGCTAATTATATCTTCTCCTCATTGTTTTAAATAGTTTGTTTTATACTTAAGTAAACATTTTCAGCATTTACGCCAAAGTTGCTTACCTCTTTTGGAAATTAGAGATTATGTGCTCCAAATTCAACTTATTCATTATTAGACAACGAAACCAAACTTTATTTCGCGAAAAATTGGATTTCACAAACACATAAAAGATTCTACCACCTAAAGACAGGGTAATCCGTGATAGGACACTTCTTCTCCACTGTCTTTCAGAGTCATTAAAAAGTACCTTATTTTTAAATAGTACTACACATTAAATGAGGCTGTTACCTGTCAAACCGGATGGGATACTGTTTTTGCCCTGACACGTGAAGTAATGGTTTCTTTTTATACATACGTCGCAGCATAGCTTAAGTTTTCGGTGATCACAAACAAATATATGATACATTTCAGATTAGCAGATAAGTAGTGGTAGCAGTCCCTGGCCGTAGAAGCAATTCGCACGTATTCGCCTGAGTCATAGCGTTACTTTCGTCTGCTTTTTTACACTGTCCAAGATGTGTTTACCTTCAAAAAATAACCATTTTGTGTATTTTGTGCCGGGCGTGACATTAAAATAGGTTTTGCTTGAATATATAATAAAATATTTAGTACTTGCATAAAAAATTTTAAAATTACACTGTTACAATGCTGACGAAATGTTATCTTCATTGACCGTTTCAACAATGCAAACAAGACAATTTTAAGAAAATTAACCCCTCCTATGAGTTTGTAAATGATACAAACTAAAGTAAAAAAAATATCAGATTTTAAAATAAATTTCGAAATTTTGGCTTGCAGCCTTGAAAGTTAGATTTGTTTACACTTACTTACTAGAAATAATACACTCAAATTCTTAAGGCTATTTTCGTTTCATTCGGTATCGATTACCGTGGAATGACCCAAATGCCAACTCATTATCGCATCTTTTTCGTAGCGAGGGTGATTAACCGTTGGAATCTATCGCACATATATACACATGTATTTAGGTGTATAAATGCCATCGCACCGGTTTTGAGTTAGTCCTAAATATGTATGTATGTATTTATTTTTGCTCTGTTATTCTGTGCATAACTTAGAATACTTTTGGACTATCCCACACTTAGGAAAATCCATAAAAGATAAACAACGATTATCTTAACAGTTATGAAAAGCCTTGAACACGTCTGCTATGGATGTATGCATGTATGTATATATGTAGCCATCGTGTGTTTATCTCTAAGTTATTATTTATTTTTGTTCAGTGCGGAAATCCTAAGAAAAGTCATTCAAAATTTGTATTAGCATTTTAGATTGCTTTGAATTGTGAGTCTCTTCCAAGTAACGAGCGATATCTTGAAACGAATATAGAGTGTAGGAGAATTCTCTCGTACCCATACTCCAGGCTTCTAGTTAGCTTAGAATCACGACTAATATGATCCCGTTCTTTTATTTTTTTT